AGAATAAAAAAAAAAAAAAAGAAAGATAACCGATGGGGTCGATGAAACAAACTGTCAGTTATCTATTATTATCATCATATCATTTTCATTTGATTTGACCCTGTATACATATCGTATAATAAAGAGTAGAAGAAAAAAAAAGTTTTTTTTTTTATCTTTATGTATTAAGTTATTGTTCTTGCGTAAAGATGAAGAATCATCCGAATGGTATGTAACTTGTGTTTGCGTGGGTGATGAAAAGAAAAGAAGAAAAGAGCACATAGAGAGGAAGTAGTTGCGAGAAAAAGAGGGTGATGGGTTCGTTCTGTTTTTCTTTCTTCCTTCATCAATTTATGACGATGAAGAGGAAAAATGGAAAAAAAAGAAGCAAAGAAAAAAGAACGAGGAGGCTTATTCTAATTTCTTATTCAGCGAAAGCGCGCCCGCGCTCGCATACATACACATATATTGAGCCGATTGCAAAAGGCGAGACACATACACATACTGAATGGGTAGAAGTAGTGCGTTCGTGAGTATACGCTGGCGTGTGTATATTTATGTGTATACATTGTCTTGTAGTGAAGTGAAAGAAAGAAAGAAAAAAGAATTTAAAATTGCAAAAAAAAAAAAAAAAAACGAAAAAATTATTTTTGTTGTTTTTTTATATTTTAGCATTAAATAATCATTTGAAATCAACAATAACGACGACGGCAAACAATTTCATATGTCAAGACACTACGATAAAAAGTAGTGAAGATAACGAAACAATTAAAATGTCTCCTAATGATTATACAATGACAACAAATAATAATCATAATCCTACTCATACTCATCATATTGATGAACGAAATTTATCTATTGATAATAATTCAAATATAAAATATTTAGTTGATCTATATACAGCAGCACTACATTTAAGGTAAAAAATTTATTTAGTATATATTTTTATTGTCCTTTAGTAATGAACATTTATCCTAATAGCTTAGTTTTATTTCTTGTTAATCGATGAGTAAGACATGTCTTTATTTCTCATGGGAGTTGTCCAAATATATACATAGAGATATCTCGTTTCACTATTTACATTACTAAACATGTGTGGAGCAATTAACCTCGTTTTCTACCTTTTTTACCTTTTTTCTTTTTTTAGACAACGAATGCGAGAAGAAAATTTAATACATCGTTCATATTCAGCTTATTTAAATGATAAAAATGGTCCACGTTCATTATTTCATAATTGTTTTCATTCATATGAAGCAATTGATTGGCTTATAAAAAAACAATTATGTAAAACCATTTATGATGGTGTGGAAATATTTCTAGTTTTAGAAAAATTAAAAATTATTCATCATGGTAAGTAGTTTTTGGCATAGTGCCAGAAGAAAAATTTCTTTGTTTCTTTTTTTTTTCTTCTGCTTCCATTCATTATTAATTTTGCATGTGTATGCGGAAGCGCAAGCGCGTAATTGCTTTTTTTCCTTCCTACGATCGATAGTTCGATCGACTGCCTTAAGAGATTGTCAGAAGAAAAAGAATAAAAAAGAAACTGATAGAAATTTAGGTCAACGTGAACTAATTTGTAATAAATAACGAAAATTGTTGGGGCTATATACGTCGTTGTCTTTTGCATAGAAAGAAAGAAGAAAAAAAAAAGAATATTGATATAATTAGAAGAAGTAAAATTGAATGATGTTGATTTCAAATATGATATGACAATATGGTTTTTTTTTAAATTTTAGTTTGTGATTTAAATGAATTTGAATATCCATCATCAGGATCATCATCAATTAATAATGTTAAATATTTATATCGTTTTCGCCTTGATGATGGTACAGCAGATCATAATCGTTCATTTCAACAATTTGCTTCTATTTATGAAACATATACAAGGTAGATTTTCTAAAGAAGTTTGTTTTTCATAAAATCAAAAAAAAAATTCCCAATTATCTTTTAGTTTATTCACACTTGATAAAAGTCAATGTCGTGGTGTAGATTTACAACAACAAGTACCATTAACAAATCCTTATAGTGAACAACCTGGAATAGTACTTAAAGGTGATAATTTAGCTCGTATGATTGCATTACGTAGTGGTACCAATATGCAAAATGTTGAACGTCTTGCTGATAATATGATTATGTATGGTCTTGTTCGATTTGGTAAATTTTTATTTATTTATATTTTTTAATAATTTGAATTTCATTTTATTTATTTATTTATTTTTTCTTTCTAGATGAATGTGATCAACAACCAGAATGTTCTTGTTCTACAAATAAATTTCATAATGATGGTAATCATCAATATATATTAAGTACTTCACATCGTTTATTAATTGATAAACGTCTTGATCTTATTGCATTAATGCAACATGATACTTTATTATTATCATCACCAATACATAATTCACCACCATTAATTCGAAATTCATCAAATTCATTTGTTAGTGCATCATGTCGTAAGTTAAAAAAAGTAAATCTTAAAATCAAATAATTCTTTGTCGTTTTTTTTCTCTCTAGCTGATCATTCAGCATCAATATATTATATACAAACCAAAAATCCTCTTAATCGAACACTAAGTAGCTATTATTGTAATGATCCATTAAACAAACTGTCACCACTACTATCATCAAGCAACTGTTGCCATCAGTATTATTCTCGTATGTTACCTTCTAATGAAACATTTCATTCATCATCATTAATGCAACAAACAAACTTACGACGCCATCCATTATCTGGACCAACAAGTAGTAATAATTCATTAGTCAATGATGAACCACAAATAAACAGAAGAATACCAAATGGAGATGATGTGGATTGTACAACTAAATTAACATGTACAGTAACACATAATGAAGGATTTCGAAGAAAAAAATCTGCCAGTTTAAATTCACCAGCTAATCCAGGTAAGAAGACAAAGAATTTTAAATCAATAATAATAATAATTATTATTATTATTATTATGTAGAAAATCGTCCAACAGCTGATGAACTTGAAAGATTAGAATTACCATGGTGTTGGAAAAGTTATTCAGTAAGTTAAAATTAAAATGAAAAAAAAAAAATTCTTATTTTTTAATTAAATAGCTTAAACGTGATCGGCGTGGTTATGGATTAATTCTTCATGGTCAAGGACCATGTTATGTTGAAAGACTTGATCCGTATGGTTCTGCATACACATCTGGAATTCGAGTAAGAAAAGATTTTTTTTTTCAATTCATCTAAATACATATTTTTTATTTTAAAGATCAATGAATATATATATGCAATTGAAGGTGTTAATGTTCTACGTCGTTCTGGTAAAGAAGTTGAACGTTTATTATCAATGTTTGATAAATGTACAATATATACTGTTTATAATCGTGATGATTATTCTCAAAGTTCAACACCACCAAATGAATATCATTCAAATAGAATATGTCCTTTAAAACAACCATCATCATTATCATCATCATTAAGTGATTATACTAATAATCCAAATACATTATTAACAACATTAAATCAACATTTATCAAATCAACAAACTATATCATATTCATCATCACCACAAAATCAACAAAATTCTTCACCATCATCATCAATTGATGGAGCATCATCTTGTTCAATATCACCGAAACAATTTTTAACAACAAATAAAAAAGGAACATTATCAAAACATTTTAAATTTTTTCAATTAAATTCTCGGTCTTGATCAAATTTATCATCAACCAATACAATAAAATAATTTTATATGCAACAATAGTATATATACATATACATATACATATATATATATACATATATATATATATATACATATATATAATATGACTCTCTTTTTTTTTTTTGATCCGGTTTGTTCATTTATTTATGTGTGAGTTTGTTTGTTAATTTCTCAGGTCATTTCTTTGGCTTAGTATGTGTGCTTTTCTTTGCACGTTTTCTTGTAGGATGCGATGCGCGCAGCACATCTGTCTATATTATTTTATTTCTCTTGTAAATATTTTCTCCTGGTTTTTTTTTTATCTGTTTTTTTTTTCTTTTGTTGAAACTTGTGATGTGATTAAAACAGAGAAAAAGAAAAAAAAATAGAATTTTGACGACAACTTGAGTGAGAGAGGTGGAAGAAAAAAATAATAAAATTTGAACTGGAACAATTTTAATTATTGATTTTTCATGTTGATAAAAAGAGGAAGAAGACAAATGATCAATATTGATAGTTTATTATTATTATTATTATTATTCGATTGATTTGATGATTTATGATGCTTAATAAATTGAATGAATAAGGCAATCATGTAGAAATGCTTGTATTTCAAAAGTATCATCGTCTACTGTAACATAAAATAACTAATAAGATTGATAGAACATTTTTTGAAATGAGGAATTAAAAATAAAATACATTCTTCACATTCTAAATGAGTAAATTTTATATTTATAGAATAATATTGACATCGACATTAGCTTTCTAATTCTTTTATTTTGATGGTTAGATAAGAAAAAAAGCAGTTTTGGATAACTAAGTTAAAAGAGATTGACATTCAATTACACATGTCAATAAATGTCAGAAGATAACAGTGAGTTACTTTTAAACCAAACGACACAAGGAAGGATGTCCTTGATTTAATAGCATTGGCCATTAGCACTGGTTGTTACGTTTTTTTAATCTTGGATATACTAGATTACCCATAGAAGAAAGTAAGTCAAAAAGAAATTTTATCTTAATGAACAACCATTGAACTTGTTAATGACACGGAACAGAATGAAGTTATCTCATCTTATGTAAAATCTTGGTATTTATTATAAGAAGAAATTACATGTCATTTCTATTAAAATTAATAATCTTTTTTTTTTCCCATTTATTCTTTGTCTTTTGAAAATACTCATACCAAAAAAAAAGAGAAAACACACGGTTAAGAAACAAGAGTAAAAAGCTAATTTCTTTTCTGAAATATTTGATAAAGTTAACAATATTCATAGTACATAAAAATTTTTCATTATGTAGTGTATATATATATATACATAAACTTGGAAAAAACAATAACAAAAAACTAATTATCCAATTTAATTGGCTGTTTAACAAGCCATCGTAAACCATCAGTAAAACCTTCATTTCTTTTAATACTACACATACATAATTTAATTCGAGGATTTTCTTCATTAAGATATTTTTCAATTTGAAGAAGATATCTTAATTCATTTTCACTATATGCTGTATCAATAATATCAATTTTATTAGCAAGAATTAATAGAGGTACAAATTTCAAATCATCATCATCTAATATATTTAATAATTCACTACGTGCTTCAGGTAAACGTTGACGATTACTTGCATCAATCATAAAAATAAGACGTGTTGACGAAAACATATAATCTCGCCATAAACGTCTTGCTTGTTTATGACCACCAACATCAGTTATAGCTAAAAGAGTTGAACCAATTTTAATTTCATGTTTTGATGGTTGACTTGTTGGCGGTGCTTGAATAAGACGATTTTGAGTTAAACGACCAGTTAATGTTGTTTTACCAGCATCATCTAGACCGACAAGAAGTACTGTATTCGATTTTGAATCATTTGATGACCACCAAAACCAAGTATATTCAGCAATGAAATCTCGTATCCATGTTATTACAGACCACATATTTGAATTTGAATAATAATATTTTTCTTTAGTTTAATTTTTATTTTATATATGAAAAAAATAAAAGCAATTTCTGTTGACGTGGGCATATTGAGTAATTTCTTTGCCACGTCAACAGAAAGAATACGTGGACATTATTTATATTTTTCTGAGAACATGAGCTCATTACAGAAACAAAAAAATAAGGAAAATTCTATCATTAAAAAAATATCAATCAAATATTATTGAGTTTGATTTTTGTGAGATGTTATCGATATTTCAATATGTCATATGTAATGCATGATATAGATTTATCATGTCGAATCAAACTTGTCATAAATGTCTGGACAATAAGCGTGATTTAAATAAACATATTTATTAAAGCGAGTGACAGATAGATTAATCTAGGACATTTTTTATTGATCATGTTTTAAAATCCTTACATAAATTTACAAGTTTTTATATAATGAAAAATATAGATTGAAGTTAATATCTAAGAAAAAAAAAAATCTATCGAAAGAAATAATATAGAATTTCTATATTTGATACATATTATGAGAAACTAAAGATTAATGAAACAAAAAAAGGCTTGTTAACGTAGTCTCTTTCGAATTAAAATCTCGAATTCACATGTCTTCTTTAGCTTTATTATAATTATTAATATAAAATATGCCAAGTGTAAAATCTCTAAAAGGCGATAGTTCTTTTCCAATCGCAATCGATTGTCAGCAAATGCTATATCTTTTTTTATTTCTATATTTCGAACAGAAATTTGATTTTCTTTTTTTTTTTTTTTTTTTTTTTTTCTTTTTTTTTTTTTTTTTTTTTTGTTTTGCCATTTATTTAATTGACATAAGCCTGTTGCACACATTTGTTATATCTACAACAGATCATAATGATCTATTATCTATCTTGATGCATTCAATAATACTGATATTGTTTATTCCCAAAAGTTAGAACTTTATCAGTTCATACTCTTGTGTTGGCGATATGACAGTTGTAGGAAGTCAAAACATCATCTTTGATGTTTATCATATAATCATTTATCTGCGCAAAATCAGAAATTGCGTTATTTACAATATTGAAAAAATGTATTTCAACCATATAAATTTCAAGGAATGTTCTGAAACCTTTTAAACCTTGTTATCAATATCGTTCAGCGCTTATAATCTCCATTGCTAAGGTCTGTAATTGGGAGGAGGAGTCACACAGCTTATATTCATTATTTTTCTTCGATAAACACACGTGTGTTCCACAAAATAAATGTTAAATATGAAGATAAGAGTTAATATTTTTTTATATCAAACAATATTTAGTGGATTATCAAATTAGTTTAAATGTTATTTTAATTTAATCATCAATAATATTTCGAATATTTTTTAAACTGTATTTTTAATTAAAAATTTAATTTATTATCTCGGATTTGATGATCAAGAAGAAGAATATCTATGATGAAATATTGAGTATTTTAGTCTTTCTTTTTTTTAATTTTTTAATTAATATAATATTTATTTTTATTATAGTTCTTTTCAAAGTTTATATGAGAATAAGTCTTTAAAAGTAATTTTTTTTCTTTGATTTTTACTATCAACAAAACATTAATTTAACTTTTTCGTCGTTTTTTTGAATGTCGATGATGTTTTCTACTCTTACTATGACTAGATCGACGTGTTTTTTTCGATGATGATCGATGTTTATGTTTATGTTTATGTTCTTTTGAGTGATCTTTGTCATGTCTATAAATTATACGAATATTTACTTCTTTTTTTGTTTTTAAATAATAATAAAAATGTAAATTTACTTAGTTTGATCAGAATCTATTTGATGATTTACTTGTTCAATGAATTTCATTTCAGTATTGATCATTTCACGAGCAATCTAAATATGATTTATATTATATTTCTATTGAAATTTAAAGAAAAAATTTACATCATAAAAATTTTTTTTTGTTGGTCGAGTGACATATTTAGTTGGACGTCGTTTTTGATCACGTAATTCAGCTAATTTATTTAATTGTTGAGAAATATTTGACTCTACAATGTAAACAAAAGAATATCAGTAAATTGATCTCAAAACAAAAAAAAAATCTAACTTTGTGATTGAACAAGTTGATTATCAATAATAGAATGTGATGTGGATGGTACAATTCCCAAACGCAAAGCTTCATTATGTACAGCTTGAGCAATTAAAGATCGTTCACCAGGCGAAAATAAAATTGTTGCTTGTTCAATACTTAATGGAAGATCTTTAAAAAAAGAAACAACGACAAATAACCCATGTTGCAAAAGTCTTTGTACAACATGTCTGGTCAATTTTTGTCCACTAATTAAGTCATGCATTGAAGAAAATCAAACGTAATCAGCTAGAATCACAATTTTATATTCTTTCTAACAATAGATTTAGAATTATTCTCTTTTCTGGCTTAAAGTTTGTTTATTGAAAACAAATCTTTGATGGTAGAGACAAACAACGTTTCTACAAAACGGTAAATTAAAGGGTGTTGGTTAATATATTTACTCATTTTTCGGACACTCAGATATCATTCACGAAAATCAAAAGAAGTCAGTTACAATCATACAATTAGATGCTCTTTCTAAATGTCAAGATCGATTTCTTTTTTTTGTCATGCATAATTTCTTTTGATGATGTTGTGGAGTAGTTTTGACTTTTTAGTATTGTAGAAAATTTAATTTTCTATAAAATCACATATTAAAGTAAGGTAGAACTCAAAAGATGTCAACATGTCTTTCGAGCAGTTACACTTTTCATGAAAAGGTATTTTGCAAAAAAAGAACTGCTTTCTTCGAATTTCGATATTTAGAATGCAATAGATTTTGATTGTTTATAGCAATATGTAAAAAAGATAAGAAAATTGGATATTTTGTAGACCAATCATCATTCTACAAATTGGTGTATAGAAAACTTTTCTTATAATTTAGTTTCAAGTAGTTTTAATCAAATTGCAAAGCTGGACTACATGAAAAATTCTGTACAGACATCATTTTTCTTTAGCCTTCATCAAAGTTTTGCTTTCAATGAAGTAAATTTAAGACATTAAAAAGAATTTGAATTTATAGCCTGGAAAAGCACAAACATTTTGATTTAACTGATGATTTTTTTATTCTTTCTAGTAACCTAGAAAATGGACGAACATTGACCAAATATATTGTGCAAAGACTGTTGCAATAGGGATTATTACGATAATTGAACGATTATTTTTACTATTTGTGATTGTTATAGGTCGATGAACAATATCACTGAGCTGTGATGGAGTAAATAAAATACCGGATTGATTAAGTAATTGTTTTTCTTGTTCACATTCAGCTAATTCTTTCTATATATGTATAAATATCCAATGATTTTTTTGTTTCCAAAAAAGATAATTTTTTACTTACTAGATATTCTTTAGAAAATCCTTCTTTTACTAATTGGCAATGTTGTACATGTTTTGATCCTATTGGAAATCGATGTCCTCGATCAATTGGACATTGTATCAATGTTTTTTGCTAAAATTATCATAATTTTTCACTTCAAAGATTCATTTCGAAGACATACTTCTTTCAATAAACAATCTTCTGTCCAATCAAATTTACTTAATAATTCATTAAATTTTAGTTTTTCTCTTTTATAAAATATGATCTCATCATCGGTCATTTATCTAAATAAATAACAAAAATAAAAAATTATGTTCTCTTTTATATTTTTCATATTTTCTTGACTTCATATTTTAATAAACGAAATAAATGCCGAATTTTATTTTACACGAAAGAAAGCTATAGAAAGAGACGATAAATAAAAGAAAGAAAAGTAAACAACATAAAATAATCATATCTGATTATCAGATCATCTCGGTACCACACAATTATAATTAATAATCGTTTTGCAAACTTTAAAGAGAACAGGAAAAATAAAAGAAAGAAAACTATCACAAGCAAAAACAAAAAAAATTCTTAATTTTTCATTATTGTTGTTGTACAGAAATTGGCGTTTGTAATTGACGATAACGTTTCTTGATTGTTGTTTTTGGTATTTGAATAGAACCATTAAATAATTGTTGTAAATTTTGCCAAGCAGTTAATGATACATTTTCTTGTGCACGTATTAATGATGGAGCATTAGCACGAAATTGTGCAAGAAGACGATCATCTTTTGATAAAGTTAATACTGTTTCATATTGATTAGTATTATTTGTAATCGTTTGATCATCATATTCAATATTAATATTTAATTTTTGACATGCATTTATTAATTGTTGTTTAATTGTTATTGATGATTGATGATTATTTGTATTTTTTTCATGTTGAATTATTTCATCGTCAATAAAATGAACATGTTTTTTTTCTTGTTGTTGTTGTTGTTGTTTATTTAAATTTTCATCACGTTTAAGTAAACTTTTTATTGGTTGTATAGGTAATGATGAAGATGTTGAAATATTAATTAATCCTAATATATCTGGATTTAATTTTGAAAGTAAATTTTCAGCTGTTGATTGTTTTGCTAATTTTTTATTTTTACCATAACCATCAGCAAAATTATTCTCACCAAATTTAACATGAAAATGAAAAATTTTTTCATTAGTTGAATTTTCTAATTCAGTAAATTCAATATTTATATTACGTGCTCGTGCTATTTGATATAGACGTGTTATTGGATTCATTTTTTCTGATAAACTATAATTATTTGAACCTTTTTGTTCAATAAATTTTTTATGTTGATTAGTATGTTTACGATTATGTTTTTGTTTTTGTTTATCATTTTCAGTTGGTAATGGTAAAATTTCTAACATTTTTTCAGCTGCTATTTGTTTGGCTGCATTTTTTGTTTGACCAGTAGCAGTTGTTGAATATTGTTCACCAATATGATATGTTATTGTTAATGGTTCATTATATTCAATTTGAACAGTAAGACCAAGTTGTTTAGCACGTTCATACATAAGTGATATTTGAGATTTTGATTGAATCTAAAAGATAATTTTAAAGAAATATTATTGTTTTTTTAATTTCTATTTTGAATATAAATAAATAACAAGAAATTTTACTTGTGTTGATTTTGATGATAGAGACTCGAGAATAAATTTTTCATTTTGATGTATAAAATTTAAAGCATGATAAGCACAATCTATTCGAGCTTGTTGACGTGATGAACCATATCCATCAAAATAAAAATGTTGTCCTAAATGTAGACGATAATAAAATATAATATGAGGACGATTCCATGATAAATTATTTGATGATGGTTGAAGTTGTTCATGTAATAAAATATATCGTGTTGGAATATGATGTTGAGCAGCCCAAGTATTTAAAATAACAGTTGGAGATTGAGGTTCTTATTTAAAATAAGAAATAAATAGATTTCAAAAATTAATATTAATAAAAAAAAGAAAAAAATAATCAACATACTGTTTATTACTTTATCAGAATGATTCATTGCTAATAAATGTTTATGATCTTCAAGAGCTATTTGTGCAGCAGCACGTTGTGCTGATTTAATACTACGATCAATACCAACATATTCTTTTTCACCTAAATGAAGTCGTACTGTATAAATTTTTGCATGAGCTGGACCTGATTCTTTTTCAAGTTGATATTCAGCAACTATCTAATTAATATTATTAATAAAATTAAATTTTGATTTGCCTTTTTTTGTTTGTTTTGTCTTATTAAATTACTTACTTTATTTCGTCGAGCCAAATCATGAATAGCTTTTATTGAAGATATTTTTGATGAATTTTGTTGCATTTTTAAATTTATGATAAGATAGACTATGTACACTGGATATATAATAATTACAATATAAAAAATTCTTTTGTTGTTGTTTTTTTTATCACATTATCATTATTATTATTCTTAAATTATAATAAATAATATAGAATAAATAGAGACACTCACAGACAGATAGTAAGACGATGAAACACTAGCAATTGAAAGCAAAAGTATGTGAGAACAGTGATAAAAAGAATGATATAATTTTATGAATGTTCTCGTCTCTTCTCTTTGTTTCTTTCGTATGTATTATGTAATTAAAAAATTATGGATTGTAATATACTATGGAAAAATAAGTCGAAAGATGGTGCATGTATACAATATTTATATATTAAACAATGAAAATTTTAATATTAGAAAAGCAAAAACAACGAATGTGCCTACTTTTTTTCTTTTATGTCATACAGTCGATTGATGAATAGATTTATAATAAATTTGTTTTACTGATCCACTTTAAATAGCAACATGTACGAATATGAAAAAAAATTATGTTTGCAAAGTGATGTTTTATTTGAATAAATTATACATAAATGTTTGCGAAGGTGTGCATGTGAAGGAAACAAAAAAAATTTTTTTTTTTTGATGATCAATACGCCCACATTGAAAAAGTCGTCCGGTGTATGCTTATTATAAATATTCGTCTTGTGATGACCCAATTGAGGAGGTACGGAAGTGTAACATTTCCTTCTCATTCGTGAAAAATTTTTATTTTTCTCTAGTAGAACTGGAATTTTCTTTTCACATTCTATTAAAAGAAAAATATTTTCCCTTTCAAAAAAATCACGAAACCCTCCTGCTTCTATATTGGCTGCTTCGGACTAGTATTGTATTCATTTATGAAACAATAGTATATGTTTTTGTATTGAGTATTTTATTAAATTCATTTCCTAGAAAATATATTTATATCATTTTAAATTCTACACCGAAAGAACAATGATACTTTAGACAGTTTCGAAAATTGAAACTATTTCAAGATATCATAAAAACTTGTGAAACCTTCTTGAGATCTTGTAAAGCTCTACGATACCTGAAAAAAATTTTGATTTCGTTTCAATTCTTGGAATCTTTTTTAAGTTTCGTACCATATCTTTTTTGTTTTCGAAATAATTATTCAATATCATCCAACATATAATTATTATAGTATATTGGTCAAGGATAAAAGAAGTTAGCAGTTAATATTAACAGGTGTTATGAAAGTGAGGATGTGAAGGATGTACACCCCCAATCTTGCAATCTAGCACGATCTTATAATATTAATGTTATAAATCTATATTGATGCAATCTCTGACAAGACTTGTCAAAATTTGTGCAATGAAACATTGACTTATAGACAACTGTATTTGATCTATATTTATACATATCATCTTACACATTATACAAAATATGTCTTATACAAGTACATCAATGACATAATTCATTCATTCTATAATCTACACGTTTCTATCAAATATATTGTTATTCTAATGATACTACTATAAATAGAAGAATAAATCGTCTTTGAAATCATCCATTGTGTAATGTCATTAATCGATCATAGAGAATGTAATACCTACGTCATACACGTGGCTGTTGTTTTTTTCTCTCTGAATTTGTCAAGGATGATTATTCTTTCCTATATCATTGAAAGTGTCTATAAAGATATTTTAGTGAATTGAAAAAAACATAAATAAATTGCAAAATATCATATGAGAGTGACGAGCATACATAATTAAAGTATATGTTATACACGACAAAATAATTTAGAGTATATGATGCAAGTATAACAGAAACGAATTACATAAAAAAAAAACCAACCAATAATATTAAAGTGTTCTTGTTGTGTTTTTTTTCAATAAGAAAAAGATTGCTTGAATTTAATAATTGAAAAACATAAAAATAAAAACCAGGAATCTATAGAAGAACTATCACATTATAATTGTGTTTCCGCTAGATTACATCGTCGACATACATTTTCAGTTATTTTATTTTCTGCAGTACAATTACCACATTTCCAAAAATTTTTATTAGTACTATTGACTTGATCATTTGGTAAATCGATTATTGATATTGATGATGGTAGTATATTATTATCAAGAAGGTTTGGTTCGAGATAATGTTGATTATATATTGAATCATTTGTTTCTGTAGGTAGTATCGATTGTTGATCTTCATAATAATATTCTTCGGATGGTACATCTTCTGATGATTGTTGATTATTTTTTTTTCGAAAAAAAAATCTTTTAAGTGTCTGATCAATTGATAAAAGATCATTTTGCATTTGATGCATTGATGGATCATTTTCAATCGCATCACCACCAAAATATTTTGCACGTATATTATGTACTGCATTAAGAAGGTCATCAATTGTTATAGCATTTGGAGATGTACCAAATGCTAAATCGTCCATATTCCACGTTCTTATTCCAGATTGATTATTACCCATGATATATTGTAATTGATGATATCAATAAGAAAAAAATGAGGCTGAATAACAAAAAATAACCACATACATGATATTTTTTCTCCCTATCATTAACTAGCTTTTTTTCTGTGTTCATTGAAGCGCAAAATTATATGTGTGATCTATGCCTGTTTAGCTATTTTATTGGTTAATAATTTCTGCAGAGATCGATGATTATTTGTATCGAATAGATGATATATTTAATAATAATGTATCAAAAAAACCAAACAAACAACATCAATATGAACAGCAAAAGATCAAAAAAAAAAAGTCATATCGAATATACAGAAGAAAAAACTGAGCATTTAATACATTTATATAAAAAAACACACACATAAATGAACTGACGAACAATTGAATGAATACTGACCAGTATAAGATACAGATAAGTTTAATTGACATTTATTTTATTTTGTTCAAATCACTGTTAATTAATTTAAATAAGAAATTGA